AGAGCGACGCAGGGTCAGATGAGGTCAGGTTCAGGGCGTGTACAGGGGATTGGTCCAGGGGTCCGACCGACCCCTGCCGCCAGAAAACGCATCTGAGGGGGTCTAATTTCAAAAATTCTTCTGGCGGGCGAGGGCCCCCAGACCCCCTTCGCCTGCAAAAAACGTCTCAGAATGTCAGGGGAAACCTTTCCCTAAAACACCGTTTATCAAGAAACGTTACTGAATAATGTTAACCTAAAGAAACATTCCGCCATAACCATTCCAAGAACATACCTTTGTTAGCTGGGTATGTCTTACGAAGTTTAGACCCCCCCCCCCCTGGTCCCAATCCTGTCACGCCCCGCACGTCACTTACTAATAAAATCTATGATCCGAACTCTGGCACACCCATTCCTCGCTTCACCATCTGAACTCCTGATTACATCAGGCAGGGCATGCGTTGCGTTTATCTAGCGTAATTCCTGCGTAATATGAGGAGCATCGCTTGCTCCGGGTCAGCGGGCGTATTCATGACGAAATTAACCAGTTCGGTTTGTGGAGCACAGTACAATTGTATGGCAATGTCTTGAATGGGAATGTATTTCCAGGAATTTTTACCCAAAAAGATTATTCGCACTGTTAAAGGAGAAAAATTAATTTTGGAGTTAAGGCAACAAATCTTTTAAAAATCATCATGTAATTTTTCCTCAAATTAAGTGAAACCCTACCTTTTTGTGCTAAATCACAATGCTTTCCAGACAGGAATCGCCACCCACGAGCCCACCATTGCGGTTGTAGATTCAAAATTTCCAACGGGAGGGGCCATGCCCACGACCCCCCCCCCTAGGGGGCTTCCACCTCTCACCGGGGGTCGGCCCCTATCAGACCAAAGCCGCGGCACTATTTATTGCTTCCGACGGCCTTTGCATCTGGCTAATTATAAGCCTATACGATGTTCGAGATCTTACCTCCATTATAACAGCCTATCCACAGGAATGTAATAACGTGAAATTCCCTAAAAGGTGCATTCTATTGTATTTCGCGAACCGGCTAACAGCTAAACGAGTTAACTGTGACATTCCAATCCCTCCTCCTTGGGCTTCACCACTCATCAGACAGTCAGACAAGCACTGCCCACTCTGGTGATACTGTTTCGTAGTAAGAAGTGTGGCATACATCTCCCTGGATGCTGACCGCCTAGCCCACTCCTCACTTCTACACAATGATTCCTGCTACTCACAGTTAAGTGAATGTGTTTTAATAGGTCTATCTCCTCTATTGTCTCTCTTGTTGGTCCGCTTCAAAAAGGTATGTCACTGTACGGTGAAGGCGGAGAACGGCGCGTGGTGGCGACTCCTGCACCCCTGCACTCCATACAGAAACCATAGGCTGCGCTGTTCAGTCACCACACACCTCTACGCCAACCTCCCGGCTGGCCATGTGTAACGTAGCTTCAACCCCGTGCGTAGGTGTTGCTGCTTGCGAGAAGGACCGTGCGTGCATAAATTGTATTATATAACAATGATTATTATTATTAATGTAATTATAGATTATAATACTATCTGCGAGTGTGCAAAAAAAAAAAAAAAACAAAAAAAAAAAAAAAAAAAAAAAAAAAAAAAAAAAAAAAAAAAAAAAAAAAAAAAAAAAAAAAAAAAAAAAAAATAAAAAAAAAAAAAAAAAAAAAGAAAAAAAAAAAAAAAAAAAAAAAAAAAAAAAAAAAAAAAAAAAAAAAAAAAAAAAAAACCGCAGAAAAAAAAAAAACCGTGTCCACCTTGTCATATTGGTTGTACCCCCCTAAATTTGATTAAATTTTAATTATCTAATCTAAACATTACAATTAAATAGTTATCATCAATATCTTGTATCATTGTTATAATCTCACGCAGTTCTACGCACCGTCTACAGCATGCCCGTCACGTTGTTGTGTCCTCCCCATTAATTAACTAATTAATTAATTAATTTAAATTTTTAGATAGGTCAAAAATGAGGTAACTTAGAAGATTGATTACATGTTGGTGCTATACCGGATCCAATTATAACTTAAACTTTTTAAACTTTCATCAATAATTAATCTAATAAAAATTTCACAGTGAGCAGAAATTCAGGGCCTGCCTCTGGCGGACGGTCTGTGCTCCCCGAGTGCTCTCAAAGTATATTATTATTACATGCACGGTTAACACGCGTCTAAGCTGCCGCGCGGCGTCCGTCGTGTCCTCCTCAGGTCCGTCCGACCGCGCGTAAGAGAGTGTGACTTCAACGGCTGCGAACGAGTCTCGCCGGAAGGCCGATGTCGTCCACGCCATCACCTCGCTGCTGGCGCCACCTGGCTGGACGGCGTTGCCGGCTGCGTTCCGCCCGTGCTCCGACGTGGGCGGCTCGTCCGCCGCCGACCGGAGCTGCCAGCTGGCAGCCTCCCGTCGCAGAATCCCGCGGGGAAGTGCGCTAGGGATCCGCGCCAGCGCGGAGCGATCAGGCTGGACGTCCTACGATTAATATAAACAGCAGTCGTAAATAATATACGAGATCTCTCATACTAATAATACTCCTGCGCTACACCACTGGAGGGAAAATGAGCCGAATGGCGAACCACCGAGCGACATGGAGGGAGTTCACAAATGCAGCCCACTGTCGCCCAGGAGAACTGAAGGTTGCAAGAGAGAGAGAGAGAGAGAGAATATTTTATATCTCTAATACACGATTCTCTATATATCTCTATATTATTATGAATATGTCCGTAAATAAATATGTAATATAAATATGTTGGGAGGCCAGTTATGGGCCCCTTTGTAAATCCTGTGAAGCCATTGTGAATGTTGTGACATTATAACAAGTGCTAGTCATACCTCGCGGCTACGCTACTAGTGACTGTTAGGACTGCAAGGTATTATTGGATTCTGATTATAGACGAATGATGTCGTAACGTTTGCACACAAAGCATTGTGCAGAAGTTCTGGCTCCTAGACTTACGATAGTCATAACCAGAGATGCCAACCACTACGATTTATTTGTATTTTAATACGAATTTCGATTCTTTTGCACCACTACGACCAGTTTGTATCAAACTACGAAATTTCACTGTGATAGAACTGGCAAATTCGCTCGTGTGCCCGTGTCCGGCGTATTTTGTCGCCCGATCGATTTTTCTAAACCAATCGGACGTGTTGTTGATATCATGTGATGCATCATGTGATGCATCATGTGATCATGTGATTCCGTCGAGTGGCGTACGCGTACGCTCTCAAATTCGCTACGATCGGGCGATTAAATTCGCTGGCGATTTTAATCGCCGCGATCGGGCGATAAAATACGCTCGTGTGCCCCTAGCATTAGACGTGTAAACGCGCAGATTATAACAATGATAATAAATATTGATGATAACTATTAATTGTAATTTTAATTAATAATTAAAATTATAATAATATTAGGGGTACAACAATATGACCAATGACACGTTAGCACACTCCAGATAGTATTATAATCTATTAAATTACATTAATAATAATAATCATTGTTACTATAATCATTATGCACGCACGTCGCTCGCACGCACACACACCTACGCACGGGTTGAGCTACGTTAACACATGCGCACCTGGATGTTTGCGTAGAAGGTGTGGTGACTGAACACGCAGCCTATGGTGCTGTATGAGTGCAGGGGCGCAGGAGGTGCCACCACGCCCGTCTCCGCCTTCACCGTACAATGCACATACCTGAAGCAGACCAACCAAGAGAGAACAATAGAGAGACATTAAAACACATTCACTTAACTGTGAGTAGCAGTAATATTTGTAGAAGTGAGAGTGGGGCCTCAGTGGGCTAGCGGTCACATCGAGAGATTATGCCACACTCTTACACGAAACAAGTATCACAGAGTGGCAGTGCTTGTCTGACTGTCTGATGCTAGTGGTGAAGCAAGAGGAGAGGAGTTGGAATGTCACAGTTGAACTCGTTTAGCGGTTCCGAAATACAATAGAAATGCATCTTTAGGGAATTTCACGTCTATTACATCCTGTGATAAGCTGTTATAATGAGGTAAATCTAACATCGTATAGGCTTATAATTAGCCAGATGTTCGCCGTGATGGAAAGGGAGGAACCAGGGGACGAAAGGAGAAAGTAAAGCATGGGGAACGCTTCACTAATAATAAGCGTTTAATATTATAAGAATTTAAACACGGAATGTAGAAGATTACTAGTGTCTGCCTTAATTCAATGTCATTTTGATTATGCATGCAGTATCTGCTACAACAGTCTCACAAAGCGCACAAGGACTAATTAAGTTGCAAGTGTGCCAAAATAGAGCCATTAAATGTATTCTCAACTTAGGTACTAGAGCACACATAGGTGCTAGAGACTTCAAGGCTGTAAATTGGGTACCTGTAGAGTACAGGGTAAGGCAACTAAAAGTTAATAAGGTATGATATATATATATATATATAATATATATATATTATAATATTACATAATCTCAGCCCACAGTATATGACTGAAGGATTCATGTTAACATCTGAAGTCCACAGTTTCAATACAAGGGAAGGTGAGAAGCACCCCCCCCCCAAGAAGAATAAGAATTTAAGGATTTAAGGATTTTTTGGGGGTGCCAAGGGTGGGAAGCAGTGGAAAAAACTTTTACTGC